GAGAGAGAGAGAGAGAGAGAGAGAGAGAGAGAGAGAGAGAAGTCTTATTTTGAATGACCTTTGTGTCGATCTAAGGAATTTGATCTTAATTGAAGGACATTAATGAGAGAAGTAACACTGTGAGACTTTCCTATAGAAATATTCTTGACACCTCCCTGGAGGAGGTATTGAATAGCCTTATCTGGCAGAAAAACTAAAAGGAAGAGATGTATTTAGGTGATATTAAGGAGGTAGAAGCAACAGAGTGTAAATTCTGTTCTAGTTTCTGGTAACTTCTTGGTGATGCAAGTTTATTAAGGACTGTTGGAGACTTTGCAGTGACATGTGACATCCACATAAAAGCTCTGCCCCTTTTCTTCTGGGTTCCCACCTTATCCCAATGGGAGATAACATCCATTCCAGTCTTTCTGTGAATTAGCTGTAATTAGCTGTCTTGTCTGGAATCTGAATATGGAATGGCTCCTCTTTTCCTGAGATCCACCATTGCATCTCCTTGCTTCTTTCCAAGCAAAGCCTTTTCTTAGCCAGCTATGCAGAGTTTCCTAGACACAATTTTTCTCCCAAATGTTCTTCAGGGAGCCAAGGGAAGCCTTATCCCACTGAAAAGCTAAAATGCATGCAAGGTCTGTTCATAGCTCTTGCAGAACCTAAAGTAGCTTCTGAGAGTGGAGATGCTTATGTGAGGTAAGGGAGAGATAGAGTAGGGACACCACTAGAAGAGCAGGGTGACCTGGAAGGGTGGGGGGACTCATAAAGAACTGAACCTGCTTAGTGAGGTGGGAAGGTTACTCATGTCGACCAAGGAGTCATCTGCCCACAGCAACTGAGCAGAGGAGGAAGGGAAATGGGCACAGTTGTGTCTCCTGGACTGGCAAAGCTTATCAGGACAGTGTCCTGGAGCTGAAAAGGGAAATTCTCCAGGGACAAAGTACCTCCTGATAGTCATCCCTCTGTGGAACAGTGCCAGTCTTGTGGAAGATAGGCTGTAGGAGAGGAAAGGTCCCTGATTCTAAGAAAGGGGCAATGGGAGGGGAACCAAAAAACTAAGATTTGAGACACTCTCCATTTCTCCCTCTTTCTCCCGGTCTCCTCTGGAACAAGAAGCAGGAGCTGCCTCCAGAAGAACAAGGGCCCAGCATTCGGGACCTGGATTTCTGGCCCAAGCTCATTACACTCATTGTATCAATCATAGAGGAAGATAAGAATTCCTATACCCCTGTGCTGAACCAGTGAGTATCACCCTATTTGGCCCAGTCTGGTTGCTGATTGATCTGTCCATCTATCTAACAGCTTCTTTCTTTCCTATCTCTGTGTATTTACAGTGTCACCTCTTCTTCCTGTCCGTTCATCTGTCCCTCTGTCCCTTGTATCTGTCTGGGTAACTGTTTCTGGAGACAGGTGTGGAAACAGTGGGGGGCCCTGCTCAGACTTAGGCTTCCTGGAGTAAGAGCTTCTGGGATTATGGCATGGGAGCCCCAGGGGATCCACAAATTATGTGTGTATGTGTCTGTCCACTGTGAATAAAATGGGCCTTCTTAAAACCCACCCACTTCCCCTTTACCCTCCAGTTTATCCTGGACCTCACTTATACTCCTCTTCTGGGCCTAAATTCTTTTGTCCCATGGACTCACCCTGCTAATGGGGATTCCCTTTGCCTGCACTTGTCCTCCCAATGGCTCCTTTTCTTCAAACTGAGCCTAGCCCTGTTCTTCAGGCTTCTCTTCTCTTCAGTATGACCTTCAAGAACTAGGTACCTTGGAAGGAGTCAAATCAAATGGCCTTGTCTTGTTCTCTGACTATAATTTCTTCTGTCATCCAGGTTTCCTCAGGAGTTGAATGTGGGAAAAGTCAGTGCAGAAGTGATGTGGCATCTGTTTGCCCAAGACATGAAATATGCATTGGAGGGTAAGGGTCTGCCCAGATGAGTGAGCTGCCAGGTTCCTAGCCCAGCTTGTAAGCAAGCAGTTCCTTTCTTCTCCCAGACAATTGTGAATTCTGGATAAATGATACAGTGAAAACTAGAAGGATTCAGTGAGAGGGTAGGGTTTAGGAGGCCGTGAGTGGGAAAAATTATAGGCAAAAGAAATATAGTAATGGATATGGCTATGTGTATGTAGGTTCCTCCTTCCAGCTTTAGAGCAAGTACCTGTTCAAGTATTTCCCAGACCAGAGATAACTCCTTCCATGATGAACATTCCCAGGAAGGCAGCCCATTTCCTAGATAATGGTTTTGTGAAACTTATCTTTACAGTTTTGCAGGATTTTGCTTTAATTTGTTTTGTTTTGTTTTTTTGAGACAAGTTTTCACTATGTGATTCGGGCCAGACTTGAACTGATTGTGTAGCACAAGCTGGCTTTGAACTTGTAGCATTCCTTCTGCTTCAGCCTCCCAAGTACTGGGATTACTAGCATATGCCACCATACCCAGCTTATCTTTACAGTTTTTTTAAAAATCAAGAGAACCTTAAATACAAAGATAGAAATCTTTATTTCTCATATTTGGGACTGACAGGTCTGGCTTCCCTTAAAAGCTGTCCTGGATTAGCGTGACAAAGCCAGAAAGATACTTCTTCCCTCACTCCTCTTGTACAGCAAGCCCACAGAGGTGTTATTATTCATCTTGTTCATCCAGCTAATTCTTTTTCCATTTCCCTTGTTGGTCCTCAAAGATGTTAGTCCCTACCTATGTCAGACCTTCCCATATATACCATCTGTGCTCATCTATTTATTTGTCTTTTCCTGTCTATGTAAGTTAGTGTAGCACCTCAGTCTGTCAAGATGGATCTAAAAGAAGGAGGAGCTATCTCGGGCAAATACAAAGCAGAGTTCAGAACTGTTCTATTGGAGCAGGAGGTTATAGAGACATAATTCCCCCTTCTGACAGATTTAACCCCAGCACCAGCAGTGGCAACAACCTCAAGCAACTTTGCTGGGGTGGAACTTCCTAGGCCTTGATAGAAGAATATATGAAGTATGACCAGTATTTTGGCATTCATCTGGTAGTGTTGTACCACCAAAGTTAATATTTAATGTGGAAATCAGAGCCTGGGATCCGAGCACAGATAATGGATTGATAGATAAAGAAAGAATTGTATATAAATATGTCTTAGTAAAGGAAAAAAGGTTTATTTTGGCTCATAGTTTGTAAAGGTTTCAGTCCATAGTCAGCTGGCTCCAAAGCAGGGTAGCATGGCAGAGGGACATCACAGAGGAGAAACAGTCCAGGGCAGTACAGGCAGGAAGCAACAAGCAGTGAGCCTGGCTTCTTTTCTGTCCCTTTATATTCCATTCACGCTATAAGCCTATTGGTCAGTGCCACCCACAACCAGGATGGGCCTTTTCCATTACCTGCACCCAGAACTATGCTAAGCCAATTTAGTTATCACACACCCTTAATTCCAATATTACACACCCTAGATCCAGCAGCCTCCAAAAAGCCCCATCTATGAGTGCATGAGGCTTTGAGGGACATCTGGATATAAGCCATAATAAAACTCAATAACTTGACAGTTGTAGGAAGAAAGTTAGAAAGCTCTGGAGTCATGAGGCAGACCTGCCCCAGCTCCAGTGAGTTGCCAGACTCAAAGGGCAAAGGCATTCCTGGTGGTGCTGATTTATGTTTCTAAGTCCAGATTTAGCTTAAAAACAGCAGGGCATGGGGTAGAGAAGAGAATCTCTCTGATAGCCCAAATTTTTCCCTCTTTGCTGCTCACTGGTGTCACTGCTCTGTCAAAGCAACCACTGTCATTTGCATTAAAAAAGTATTCTTTCCTGGTGGCAAGAGTTTTTGGTTGTTGTCCCTTTACCACTAGGCTCAATACCTTTTCCTTCTGCTCACTGCTCCATAGAAGCAAATACAGCTTCAGGTTGGGATGATGCTGCCTACAGTATGAGGAAATAGACGTTCTGGGGCCTGCAGTCTTTTGAGGCTGGACCCCAGGCTTCCATTTCCTTCCCAAGTATCTACTGCACTAATTCAAAAGGCCAGTGGCCTCAGACTGGATGTTCTGCCTGAACTTAGAGGAGCATCTCCCATAGCATCCCAAAGTTGAGCAATAGAGTTCCCAGGGACATTGGTCCCTTCTCTGTTGCTTAGTGTTTTCTCCTATTTGCTTGCTTTTACCATTATACTGTTTCAGCACACGACTGACATTTAGTTTTCAAACTAATACTTCAACTATAAAGGAATAGGGGAGTGAGGAGAACCTGTGAGTCTGGCCATTGCTCCAGACTCTGAGCCAGATGTGAGTGATCTTAAGTCCAGTATTTTCCAGAAGACTCTTATATTCTGTTAGATGCCTTTGAAGTCCATAATAATAGTCCTATTTTCTGTAGCATGATAGCCCTTTTGTTTTGTTTTTTGTTTTTTGAGACAGGGTCTCACTATGTAGTTGAGACTGACCTGGAACTCACTGTGTGGCCAGGTTGGTCTCAAACTCACAGCGATACTCCTGCCTCAGCCTTCTGAGTGCTGGGATTACAGGCATGCGCCACCACACCTGGTTTATGATAGCCCTATTATCTGACTGTGTTTCCATAGTTTCCCAACTGACTATCCTCATTTGCATGCATACTTCCCTGAGAGCTCATTTTCTATATCACAGCTCTGCTCTGGAGCCCTTCAGTTTACCTCAAGAAGTTGCTACGCTATAGCTGCTCAATGGCCTTCCTGTCAACCTGGACCCTCCTGGTTTTCCTTGTCTCTGTGTAGTGTCATTGACCCATTCATACCATGCATAACTTGATATTTCTGCATTTAAACCTGTCTGAGGGAATGGCTTGCTACTAAAATGTTTTTAAAACCCTAGAAAACCATTGTCTCTCTCCAGAAAACCAGTATCCCCACTAATCAGCATTAACACTTTCATCACTTTTTCTTCTTCACCAAAGGCCCAGTGACCACTGTACTTTCAAAAGTTAGAAGATTATAGGCTTTATCTGGGAGTCTAGATTACTATCTCTAGAGGAAGATTTGGGCCAGGTCTTGGAAAGTGGCTGAGCATAGTGGTGTGTGTGTCAGGGTAGTGACTGTGAGCAGGAAGTCGGAAATCACATGTCTTCTAAGGTGAAGGAGCCACCTAACCAGATCTGATGCTGTGGCAAAGCTCAGGAACCCTGACATCTACTGCTGACGTCTGACCCAATCTCCTTCCTCTAACTAGAGCATGAGAAAGACCGGCTGTGTAAGAGCGCTGACTACATGAATCTGCACTTCAAGGTGAAGTGGCTTCACAATGAATATGTGCGTGATCTGCCTGCCCTCCATGAGCAGGTTCCCGACTACCCAGCGTGAGTCATTTGGACCTTATATAGAGGGATGGGAAGAGGGCCCCTGGATTGGCAGGGCTAATATCCTCAATTCAGCTCAGCAGCTAATCTCGGGACTGCCTATCCAAGGCACTTGTATAGAAAGTCTTGCCTTCCAGAAGACCCCATTCTGGTACACTGTCAGGCATAGAGTATATGCCAGTCACTAGCTTCAACCTCCTTCTCTGGCTGCAGGTGGTTTGAGCAGTTTGTGCTACAGTGGTTAGACGAAAATGAGGATGTTTCCCTGGAATTCCTGCATGGGGCCCTGGAACGAGATAAAAAGGATGGGGTAAGTTGGGGACTTGTGCTGCACAGGTCAGGTCACTTACCATTGGCAGAAGTTCCTGGGCTTCTACCAGGCTGGCTGTCCCTGCCCTACCCACGGAAGGACTGTGGGGAACCACTGAGCCACCCCTGCTGGGGAGAGCTTTTTCAAACCCCACAAGCTTGAGAAAAGGTAGCAGCAGTGGATGGTGACCTTGTATGTGGCCTTCTTAGTTTCAGCAGACATCAGAGCATGCTCTGTTTTCCTGCTCTGTGGTGGATGTCTTCACACAGCTCAACCAGAGCTTTGAAATCATCCGGAAGCTGGAATGCCCAGACCCCAGCATCCTTGCCCACTACATGAGAAGATTTGCTAAGGTGATTATGAGCCTTCCTGCCCCCTCCTCCTCATCACTACACTAACAGCCGAGACAGAGGTCTGAGCTTAATCCCTCTCCACAGCAGCCTTCAGTTAAGGCTTAGCATTATCTTTTTTCCCTTTACTTGTGTCTGGAGCAGATACAAGGACTGTTTTGGTGCTGTCTGTGCTTGAGAGGGAGCTTTGCCCCTTCTTGTAAGATTCCCTTTACTTCCCTAATAATTATTTTTCTGGAATAAGAAGTGCAACTTCCTAAGTAGAAGGGCTGGGGATTTAGCTCAGTGGCTGCCTGCTTCACAAGCGCAAGGCCCCAGGTTTGATCCCCGGTACCTAAATAAATAAATAAATAAACATCCCCAAGTGGAGAGCTAAGGGTTACTTTTCTTTTCTACTTTTTTTCTCAGACCATTGGGAAGGTGCTGATGCAGTATGCCGACATCTTATCAAAGAACTTCCCAGCTTATTGCACAAAGGAGAAACTGGTAGGGTTAGCTCTGGGACACTAAGAAAGGTTGTAGAGAACATTTGAATCCGTCTTGCTCTTGACATGATCCTAAGATGCTTTTGACTTCTGCTTCCCTCCAGAGCTTTGCTTGAGACCTGTACCACAAGATAGTAAGAACTTGACTAAGAGTTCTGCTAAGCCTCCATTTAGTGCTTTATCCTCTAGTAAACTACAACTTTGGTTAATCTTTTTTTTTTTTTTTTTTTTTTTTTTTTTTTTTT